TCCATACTACTCAGAAGGGCGGGGCAGTGCTGTGGCAGCAGCTGCCTGCTGGGCGTAGCTGGTCACCATCCAGGAAGCCTCCAGCAATGGACAGTGCTTGACACCCCTTCCAATCCCCACCCCTCTTTAGAGATCCAGAGACCAGGAACCCTGGCAGAAATCCTCCTTCCTTCACTTGGTTTCCTTCTGGCTAAGGCGCTTGTTCCTCCTATACATTTAACTTGTCAACTAGAATATTCCCATAGGTAAAAGCCCTGCTTATAAAGAGCTCAAAGGTGTGTGTACCTAAGTGCACGTGTGTGCACGTTGTGCAGTGTGTGTGCTTCAGAGCACTTTTGCCCATGCGCATGTGTCCACTTGACTATGCTATGTATGCACATATGCTTGACATGTGTACATGGATGTATGTGTGTGCATATGTGTATGTGTATGCATTGGGTGAGGGCTAGAGGGTGGCAGCGGCCTTAATATCACCTTTTTGGGTGCTCTGGTTTCAGGGCTAACACCAGTGACTGTGGGGTAAGTTCCAAGCCTGGAAGTAGACAACTTAGGAGGCTCTTTACCCCATGCCCAGCTCTACTCACAGTGGCTGATCAGGTCTTTACTGCAGGTCTGGAAAGAAGCTGATAGAAGATGGGTACCAGAGGGGCCTAGGTAGAGACGTTAGCTGAGAGACACCCAGTATGGATTCTGTCAGTTTTCTGGGTGAGCATGCACATTCACCAAAATTCAGAGAATCAAACTGGGGCTTTCCACAAGATCCGTGACTCCATTCCCTAGGGCAAATGTACTGTTTCGGTTAAGGTATGTGAGTGTTAAGCTTTATGCCTGTACTGTAATGTGTTCAAGCTGCAGATGTGAAAACAATAGGATTGTCTGTAGTTGTGCATCTCATTTCTCAATAGTAACATTATTGTGACATGGAACTTGAAGTTTGTTTCCTTGGCTTTCAGAAAAGGAAAAGTTAAAGGAACATGTATAGTGATTTTTTAAGAGAGAGCACATTTTATACCTGTGCAGACACACATTCATATGAATAGTGCTTGGGAGTCTGCTGATATAGTTGTTTAACCCTCTCCATGTTAATTTCTCCCACACATAAAAGATTTTTACTTGGGCACAGTGGCTGACACCTGTAATCCCAGCACTTTGGGAGGCCCAGTCGGGCAGATCACCTGAGGTCAGGAGTTTGAGACCAGCCTGGCCAACATGGTGAAAACTCATCTCTCCTAAAAATACAAAAATTAGCCAGCATGGTGGTGTGTACCTATAATCCCAGCTACTTGGAAGGCTGAGGCAGGAGAATTGCTTGAACCCAGGAGGCAGAGGTTGCAGTGAGCAGAGCTCACACCACTCCATTCCAGCCTGGGTGACAGAGCAAGACTCAGTCTCAAAAATAATACTACTAAAAAATTTTAAACTCCATTTACAAATAATATAGCCAAACCTAACATTTTACAAATAAATGATTTTTTGCTGGCTTTTTCCAAGTCAGAATTGTGTACTTTTACTCCAGAAGACCACAGGGTCATCTGTTTCACACTTGCACAAACATGCAAGACTAACTGAAACTGTAAGACAACAGAAGGGTGTCCAGCATGCCGCCTCCACCCTCCCTCCCCGTGCGGTGACCCCCTGCTTCTGCTTCTGTACCCACTGGTGTCCCCTCCAGTCCAGCAGCCTGGAGACTCTGTCCTGCTCACTGCCATCTCTTCAGTGACAGGCCCACATGGGCTCCTAATAAACCCCTTAATATCACCTTTTCGGGTGCTCTGGTTTCAGGGCCAACACCAGTGGACTGTGGGGTAAGTTCCAAGCCTGGAAGTAGACAACTTAGGAGGCTCTTTACCCCATGCCCAGCTCTACTCACAGTGGCTGGGAGCGAGTAAGCAGCTGCACTTGCTGTCCATGCCACCTCAGAGCCCTTGGGAAGGCCTCAGCTTCCATCGCCAAGTTCCATCTCTTCACCTGTCTTGACCAGTAACACCCACTGCCCCTATCATTACATTAAACCATTCTGTTGACTTTATTCTTTTTCACCAAGGAAGCCAAAACTCTTGACGAAACACAGTGAATAGGCACCATGCCTGTCTTACAAATGGGAAAATAAAAGTCCCCCCACGAGTTGGCATCAGTAGCGTTCACATCCCCGACTGATCCTGACATTTATTTTTACAAAACAAACCATCTCAAAACTTGGTGGCATCAATATTCATTCTGTGCACAGAACTCGTTTGGACAGGGCTCCATCAGGATAGCTCCCCTTGGCTCCACTGGGCATTAGCGGGTGCCTCCAAGGTTGGCAGGAGTCACTGAAGGCTCCTATGTCCAGGCTGCAGCTCTGGCTGGACTCCCTCACAGCATGTGTGGATCCCAAGGGCAGCTGGAAGCTGGGCACTTTTCCTAACCAAGCGTGGAACATCACTTGGTGTCCCTTCCACTGCACTCTGTTCATGAGAAGCCAGACACTGAAGCCAGCTCAAACTCAGGGAAAGGCAGTGAGACACGCACCTTTGAAGGGAAGGGCACCAAGGAGCCACACTCTGCCTGCTTTGGCCACACTGTCTGGCTTCTCCATCCTCAGTCTCTTTGGCCATGACACCATAATGATGGGAGGGGTGAGTTAACAGACACCAAACAGAACTGCTGTAGCAACTGCCAAGTGCCTTGCACAGCGGAGGGGTGTGGGGTGCCCGTGATACTACACTGCAAGTGGCGTTTCCTTCTAGGGCTTTAATCTCCCAGAAAGACAGAGATGCAATATCTCAGTGCTTTTGAGCCTTTATTTTCAACCCTACCCGCAGCAGCATAATGCAGCTTGATCTATAATGGGGTGCACCACACCCTCTCAGCTTCATCAGGGATGGGGGCCAAGGACTCCCTGTACCTGTCTCATCTGGAGATGAAACTCACCTGGGACTAACCAAAAAGAATTTGAAGAAAAAGCGAAGTCTCATTACAAAAACACAGATGTTGGCCCAGTTTAACTCTAGAAGAAATGGGATCCTATTAAGGAAGGAAGTTTGGGGCAAAGCACCAGGAAATCCCTTGACCGGAAGTGTTGCTAGATTGAGGAAGTGTCCTAAAGGAAGTGGGAGACAGCTGTGGGCACTGTGTGCCCAGCCCTGGCCTTCCCAGCAGAGCCTGTGTGCATCATGTCCCACCCAAGTAAAAATAGAATTCATTTACCAAAATGGGGTAGTTCCTTCACTTGCTAAAGTAAATGGATATATATATATGTAATGGCTCTTCATTTGTTTCTCTTTCCTACCACTGTTCTCAGCCATTTGAGGCGTGGAAGGTTGTGGACTGGGGAAACCCACTCTGGCTCTGGTTTTCCGTGTTGTTGGAAACAGTATGTCCCAGGCTGTTTGCTTTAACCAGCGTGCCTTTTATCCCTGCAGAGCTACGAAGTGAAGAGTGTCCTGGGAAAGGAGGTGGGGTTGTTAAATTGTTTCGTCCAGTCCGTAACCGCCCACCCGACCAGCTGCATTGGATTGGAGGAAATCGAGCTTCTGAGTGCAGGAGGGGCCTCTGCAGAACACTAGCAGTTGCCGCAGGATCTGTGAACTTTGCAGTGTGGCTGCAAGGGTGGTGGTGGTGGTGGTGATTTGGGGTAGTTACTTGTTAACTATGGACACAGTGAATGTAGTTTATGATCTTGAAACATATTTTTCTGGGGAAATGTTAAGATATAGTTTTGTGAACTGTAAATCAAAATACCTTTTTCTACAGTTTTATGTTTTTTCTGCAAATTTAGGAACATATTTACTTTTGTTTTCACATTGAATCTTAAGCTTAAGCTCTTCATTTGGTATTCAGGCAATATATGAGAAGAAAAAATTTTGTTCATTTGTAATTTTAACAAGTTGAACATTTTACCAGGATTGAGCATGTTTTTCTTACAGTATTTGTTTTAACATTCCCCCAAAGAATACCCTGCAAAGCGTAAACCTTTGCCCCATACTTATTACTGTTCTATTACAATAAATGTCAAACTTAAGCACTTCGCAGTTCACTACTTTTTGGAAAATGTTCTAGGGAACTGTATCAGAGGTGAAACTGTTACCCATAAAGTGTAGCTCTCTGAACCGGTCTGATCGTCGCTCTGCTGAATGGTGGTGGGGATAGCTGGCTCCACCACACACCTGTTTAATCAGGCTGGGTAATGTGCACCAAGAGCAAAGATCACAGACTAAGGAACAGTCCCTTATCATTTGCTTTGCTGGCAAAGATTTAAACCAAGAATTAATCATCTTTGGACACTATATTTTGTTGCCTTCCTCATAGAAATATAATCATGACAGGCCATGGTTAATAAGAAACGTAGCAGCCTACGACCAAGAAATGGTGCCTAATACCAAGTGTTCCTGGGTTAAAGGCAGAAGGCTTTTTTAAAATTAAATCTTAAAACATTGCAATTACAGGCAAGACAGCTGGTCTTAAAAGCAGTTTTGTGACTGCCCTTTTAATCCACTACATGACTATTCCGGCTTTTCTGGAGCACTTATGAAAATCTTCTTGACTCTGTCCACAAGACTGAGGAAAGTGAAAGCAAAGTCCCGGGAAAGTGGGAGATGATTCAGCCGGGCTTCTGCCCTTCGCCCCTCCAGCAGCCTCTACAGTTAGGGAGCTCTTGGACTGTTCTTAGCAGGGGCCCCCCAAACAGCCAACCCTTCCCCACGTCTTGGGGAGCGCACCTTCCGCTGGAAAACTGCTAGCTTACCTGAGCTCAGCCGTGCTCCACCGAGCTTAAGCAAGTTAAATAAGACTAGGAGGGAGCCTTTAGCGCGTTTCAAAAGCGACAGACTCTCTCCTGAGCAGCTCAGGCCTACTGCCCATCCCCCCGCCCGCACGCACACACACACACACACACCTGGCGCCCGGGCTCCCTGGTGCTCGCTGGCTGCGGGTCCGGAACGCACCCTTCCCCAGCCGGGTCCTGCGCCACCGACGGACGGGCTGGCGGGCGGGAGTCACTGCGAATATAGGAAGCAAGGGCGGTTTCAAATGCTGCTTTATTCTTACGAATACTGTAAAAATTAATATAAAAAAGTGAGCATGCTCAGTCTTTTCCTCTTATCTACAATACAAAGGGTTTGTCTGAAAAGTCTTGGTTTTTTCTTTTTACAAATGTACCTTAGCTGCATCAACAGGAGTAAGATGTAGAAAAAGCTACCATTACAAAAATAATTTAAGGGAAAATAAACACGTTTAGCTTCTCTCGCAGTTCAGTGGTGGTAAGTCCAGGCTGTAGCTTCTTTGCGCTCGTATGTCCCAAGAAACTGCAGCGGGTGCCCGGTGGCTCTGGCTGCGCCGGGGCACGGCGCGCTCCGCTCCGGGCCGTCGGGTCTGAGGTATGGGTCGTTGCTGAGTCTCTCCCGCCCCGGCCGCGCGTTACCGACAGTCTGCGGTCCCGGCGGCCGGCAGGAAGGGCGGGCTGGGCAACTGCTTGAAGAACTGCCGGAGGCCGGCCAGGTCCCGCGTGAGCTGCTCCACGCGCTGGTGCAGCTTCTCGTTCTCGGCCGACAGCTCCACCAGCTTCTGCTGCATCTCCTGGTTGCGCCGCTTGGCCTTGTCGCGGCTCTTGCGCACCGCGATGTTGTTGCGCTCGCGCCGCTGCCGGTACTCGGGGCTGCCGCGGTCCGGACCCCTCTTGCCGGCGCTCTTCTCCCGGGCGGGGCCGGGCGCGGGTGTCGGCCCGGGACTGCTGCGCGGCGGCTCCGGCGACGTGGGCGGTGTGGGCTGCCCTGCGGCCGCCAGGCTCACCACGGTCTGTGCGCACGCGGCCACCTGCGCGGGCAGCAGCGAGCCGGGCGCGTCGCCGTCGCCCCAATCGGGCTCGCGCTTGAGCGGGCGCGGAGCGGCGGGGCCCGGGCCCAAGGGGCGCGCGGGGCCGCCGGGCAGAAGCTCCAGGGGCCCCGCGCCGCCCGCCTTGTGATTGCTGTTGAAGAGGTCGGCGAAGAGCTCGTCGTGGCACAGCTCCAGGGTGGGCACGGCGGCCATGGAGTCGATGTAGGCGCTGAAGTCGATGGCGCTCTCGTCGTCGTACATGGCGGGGGCGGCGGCCCCTGGCTCGCCTAAGGCCCCCGGCTCGGCCCCGCGTCCCGGCTTGCCAGCTCGGCCCGGCTCGTAGAAGGGCGCAGGCTCCGCAGGCCAGGGCGCGCCGCGCGCCGGGCCGTCCAGGCTGAAGAGGGCGGCGCTCATGGCGGCGTCGGGCCGGGCTCTGCGTCCAAGCGCGGCTGTCACCTCCCTGGGCCCAGCCCCGCCGCCTTTTCTAGCCCCGGCTGACGTGCACGCCCCGCCCCGGCTCCGGCACAGCGGGGGCGCCCCAGGGCCGCGGGGGAAGGGGCGGGGGCGCCCTGGGAGACCCCCCGAGCTGCCCGGAGCCTTCCAGGGGCACGTCCTCTCTCTGCTCCTCCCCTGGACCCCCTCCCAGACCCGCGGGACCCCCAGGCGCGTTGCAGTAGGGTGCGCGCGCTAGTGCCCCCTCCCCGGCCCGGGCCGGCCCGCGCTGCGCTGCTGGGAATGACACTCCCTCTGCCCGCACTCCAGGGCCTTCTCTCCTTCCTGTTTGTGGGCTTGGAACCTCCTCGCTCCTAGGGGCTGGGAGTGAAATCAAAACCAGGACTTGGCCACAGCACGCGCGCCCCAGGCCGGCTCCTGTCGCCGGAGGGCGGGGGGTGGGGACACGTGGGAGAGGACCCGCGCGTTCAAGGATGCCCCCCGACCGTGGGCACGCGTGTGAGACCCTGGCCCCGCGCCTCCACCGTGGGACCAGATGCGGGAAGAGGCGCGGGGGACGGGACGTGGGGACAGCCACAGCCTCGTCGTAAGGTCCCCAGGCGGCGGCCTGGCAGACGGGGAGGGCTGCCAGCACCGCACTCGGGCGCCTCAGGTAATGCGGCCCGGTTCTCGCTGTTCTCCTCGGAGGTCCCGGGTCCGGCCGGCCCTGGGGGTCGAGGCCCAGCGACGCGGCTGCTGCGTCCTGGCCGAAAGGGCGGCGCGACCCCGTCGCCAAAAGCAGAGCAGATGAGGGAGACGCAGTCACGACATCGTGTCCTCCGCCGGCCCCTCGAGGTGCGGGCTCTCCCGCCGCACGCCACTCCCCGACCCCGCAGAGCCCAGCGCCCCCCGCCAGCTCCCGCGCCCGCGTCTCTTCCAGGTCTACGGAAGCAGTGCCATCGTGTGGCAGTACCTGCGTTAGACCTGTTTTTAGTTCCAGGCTCTTTCCCTGTTAAATATTCCAAAAAAGTGCCTTGAACGTAAAGTAGTTGGGTCCCTTTTGGGAGACAGGTAAGATATCTACCAGTAGCTATAGCAGGGTGCAGATGGGCCTTGGCTCATGATGGGGTTACATCCCGGTAGACCCATCGCACACTGAAAATGTCTTAAGTAAGGATGGGCTTTGTCATGTGTCCTGCAATTTGAGGCAGGCATTTCTGGTCAGACCCATTTATTATTTTGAATTTAAAATAAAGGTTTTTTCAGCCGGGCGCAGTGGCTCATGCCTGTAATACCAGCAGTTTGGGAAGCTGAGGTGGGCGGATCACTTGAGGTCAGGAGTTTGAAACCAGCCTGGCCAACATGGTGAAACCCTATTTCTACTAAAAATACAAAAATTAGCCAAGCATAGTGGTGCGTGCCTGTAATCCCAGCTCTTCAGGAGGCTGAGACAGGAGAATCGCTTGAAACCCTGAGGCAGAGGTTGCGGTGAGCCGAAATCGTGCCATTGCACTCCAACCTGGGCGACAGAGCGAGACTCCGTCTCAAAAAAAAAAAAAAAAAACTGAAATGGGATCTCACAATGTTGTCTAGGCTGGTTTCAAACTCCTGGGCTTAAGAGATTCGCTGGCCTCACCCTCCCAAAGTGCTGGGATTACAGGCGTGAGCCACCATGCCCGGCCCAAATCTATTAACTCACTATCCCTAGTCACACCTGCTCCATGTTGAGTCTCTTCTTCCGTAGGCCTCTCACCAGATCTGCGTTGAAACACGAAGCCCTACTAACTGTGCGCAGTTTCTGCAGTCAGTTCCAGAGGTCATTTCTAATGTTGCATTATGGGATATTTAATAGGTTTCCTAAAGAACAAACGTATTTCTTTAGAGTGACTCAGAGGGTACGCAATGATGATGTCACACAATTACCTATTAAGACTCAAATCCAGCAATGCATGTAAGTGTGGACTTACACACATCCAGAAAAAGTTCTAGCACAATTTTTTTCGTTCTCATATATTTAAGAAGCCACAGAAACACTATTAAAGCCCTCCCTAATCACTTAGGGAATGCAAAATAAATATTTATAAGAGATTACCATATCCTCCTAAAAACAACTCAGACTATTTTCAGTGAGATGATTTACTGATTCCGATAGTCAACATAATTACTTTTTATTTTTATTTTTGAGACGGAGTCTCGCTCTGTCGCCAGGCCTGAGTGCAGTGGCACGATCTCAGCTCACTGCAACCTCCGCCTCCCGGGTTCAAGCGGTTCTCCTGCCTCAGCCTCCCGAGAAGCTGGGATTACAGGCGCATGACACCACCCCGGCTACTTTTGTATTTTAAGTAGAGACGGGGTTTCACCGTGTTAGCCAGGATGGTTTCGATCTTCTGTCCTCGTGATCCACCTGCCTCCGCCTCCCAAAGCTACATTTATTAACACTAAGTTGAGTTTACGTGACAGTGATGCATATTGAGGTGCTTTACAGGAAGTGGTTAGAAAGCGCTTGCCTAGGCCTGGCGCAGTAGCTCACACCTGTAATCCCAGCACTTTTGAGAGGCCAAGGTGGGCGGATCACCTGAGATCAAGAGTTCAAGACCAGCCTGGCCAACATGATGAAACCCTGTCTCTACAAAAATACAAAAATTAGCCGGACATGATGGCAGGTGCCTTGTAATCCCAGCTACTTGGGAGGCTGAGGCAGGAGAATCGCTTGAAATCTAGAGGCAGAATTTGCAATGAGCCAAGATCACACCATTGCACTTCAGCCTAAGCAACAGAGTGAAACTCCGTATCAAAAAAAAAAAGGCCGGGCACGGTGCCTCACACCTGTAATCCCAGCACTTTCGGAGGCCGAGGCGGGCAAATCACAAAGTCAGGAGATGGAGACCATCCTGGCTAACACTGTGAAACCCCGTCTCTACTAAAAACACAAAAAATTAGCCAGGCGTGGTGGCAGGTACCTCTAGTCCCAACTACTAGGGAGGCTGAGTCCAGCCTGGGCGACAGAGCAGGACTCCGTCTCAAAAAAAAAAAAGAAAAAAGAAGAAAAAAAAAGAAATTCAGGAGGTTGAAAACTGTTAAAATGTGTTTGAGTTAATATATGCTGTTAATATATGCTCTTGGGGTCCGAAAGCCAGTCTGACTTCCCTTCATTCATAGGATGAAGCTGACCATAATTCAGCTGTCTCTCATCCTAGGGATCATATTTGGATACTTCAGATGGCAGAAGAGCAGTTCTGCTCCAAATTGCAGTCTGAAAAAGTAAAACATTTTTGAGCACTGCTCTCTAAACGTAAATATGAAATTAAGTTTCAAGAGATGGGAAACTTTTTAGTGCTTTCTTCAGATTTTTATTCTCAACTACCAGATTAGATGGTTTTGTTTACCTTCTGCCTTCAGGCTATTCTAACTTTACGGCTTATTTTTCTGTTTTTGTGTCACAGTAGGATTTTTTTTTTTTTTTTTTTTTTTTTTTTTTTTTTTTTTTTTAGATACAGTCTTGCTCTGTTGGCCAGACTGGAGGACAGTGGCACGATCTTGGCTCACTGCAACCTCTGTCTCCCGGGCTCAAGCAATTCTGCCTCAGCCTCCTGAGTAGCTGGGATTATAGGCGTGTGCCACCATGCCCAGGTAATTTTCAGTACAGAAGAGGTTTCACCATGTTGGCCAGGCTGGTCTCCAATTCCTGACCTCAGGTAATCTACCTGCCTTGGCCTCCCAAAGTTCTGGGATTACAGGCATGAGCCACCACACCCGGCCATGAAATTTTTATATGTTACATGTTTATATCCAAAAATACTGACTTTTTTAGGATGAACCTTATTGCCAATGTGTGAGTTTGGAAAAGGAAGGACAAGAGTCAAAGGGACAAAATTATTGGTTGTTGGGGTCACGCACCCCTCATGCTATTAAAGCATGCGCATGTCATTGAAACCTGCTGTGATTGGTAACAATTTATATGTGTGCTTCAGCTTCTAGAATCTAAGAGGCTGAGTCCCCAGATTGTAAAGTAGCCAGAGCTGACAACAGGCATTGGATTCTGTGGGTTGGGTGTCCCACCTGCCAAATACCTGCTCACATTCTCCACAACAGAAAAGGAAAAGCAGTTTGTCTTCCCAGCCTACATTTTCATCAGGTGGATTCATCCCTCCCTGGCCCACACCCGGCAGCCCCTCTGCCAGCCTCCTTGCACCCCAGGTCCCCAGCTGCCTCCTTGGTGACAGTGATGCTGCAGCTGCACCTGCACCCAGGAAGGGTGCAGCAGGTCTGGACTCACAGCTTGCTCTCCCTGTCCAATCCGTTCTCCAGATGGCCGCCCAAGAGAGCCTGTCACATCACTGTGTTCCTTAGAATCTGCTGAAGCTTTCTTGCCCTAGAGAATGGAGTTTCAGTTCTCAAGTGGGAGCCCTCCACTGCCCACTTCAAGAAGAAGTCATTTTCCTTTCACAACAACTGGCACCTGACTCAACTCCAAATACCAGGACATGCCTGGTTTCCTGTGTGTGAAGCTGATGGTTCTACCGAGAGCCCTTTCTCCTCTGCACCACTCCACTGGCAAGAGCCTTCCATCTGTTACAGACTGGCTTAAAATGGTGCCTGCCTCGATGGTGCTTTCTGTGACTGACTTAATCACTTCCTCATCTGACTTCTCAGGAAAAATACATCCCACATCTTGTCAATTATTAAGTGCGCTTTTTAAAATATTTTACTGAAATTCAGATGCATCTGACAATCACTGTTGTCCAGAGTGTCAGTTAGGATGTTTGTCTTCGTCCACATACGGGTGCCAGTGGCTGGGAGTGAATCCTGAGAATGATGGCGGAGAGCACTTTCTAAAAAAATGCTACAGCGCTCGCTGTCTTGATGGAATGGAGAGCAGTGGTGTATAAAAACCCGCAGGGTAATGACTCTGAAATGAAAAGTGATTCAGAGGAGACAGTGAGTGAACATGAAAGCATTTGGGAATATCTTAAGCAATTTACTTATATTGTCCTTTTCTACATGTACGTAAGAGTGATATATTATTAAAATCAATGTCTGAAAGAAATTAAGTTCTTTCTATGAGTA